TTAGTATTCCTGCAACCTGGAAGAGATAATCATTATTAGCTTACCTCCTTAAAGATTTAAGAGTAAGTTAAGTAGACAGAAAAATGAAATTAAACCCATGATGTTTATATTTTAGAGTAGATAGAAGTAGCAAATAGTTTTTCAAGTATTTTCTTTGTGTATGACTGTGTTCTTTTTTAAATGTAGGGGGCATTCAAAAGAATCTGTTTTAAACTATTATTTTAGTGTTCACTAAGAATCAAAGAATATCAGACTTGAAAACCTTAGTGACTGTAGTATTCACTAAGAAATGTTACTTTGTAATCAGTTATTCACTGTTGGAAATGTTTACTTTCAAAGTTTTATTAGCTAGATCAGTTTTATAAATTTAGTAACAAATAAAATGTAAACAGTGTATGTCTTTCTCACCATACCCTAAATACCTCCTATATGAAATCATCCATTTCAGGAATGTTAACACCTGTTCCAAGAAACTGTTTTAATAAGGAATGAAATAACCCATGTGATGTACTTAGTCTGCTCTGAAGAGCTAAATTAAATAATGGAAGATCAGCAAGAGTTCTTTTGGTTAATTTTATATATGTCTATTCAAGGACTGTGATCCAGACTCTAACTCTATATATGACTGCCCACCCAAATGACTCAATAGTGGTAGCTTCTAGAAACAAAGATGGAGATTAATTGAGAAGGGGCATGAAGGATGAWATTTAGCACAGGACAAGTGCTCAACAAATACCTTTGTACTAATGAATATACTAGAAATGAAGCAATCTAAGCCCAGGATGGGTGATGAAACTGTTTTATATCTTTATGAGACTGCTAGTTTCACAGGTTCATAAATTTTTAAAATGCTTCAAATTGTACACTTCAGATTGTGCATTTTGTTATATGTAGTGGGAAAAAAGAATGGAAAGCCAATATCAAACTCTAATAAGTTTGTTTTACATGCAGTGTGAGGTAGCAAGTCTTTTTGTGTKTTGAGCTTGAACACAAGCATATATGCAAATAGTGTATAGATAGTAGAAGCAATGTTTTTCATTGTTGAAGACAAAAATAACTAATGCAGAAGAGACAAGATTAGAATATACCCTGTGGTATTTTATTTGAATTAGGTTTGTTATTTTGAGTTCACATTTATAACTATGCAACTATGTCTATTAAAAAGACATATACCAGCAGTAGCGATGAGCACACAAGACCTTATTTACTACAATGTAGATAGGACTAAAATTAGTTAAAGGGAACTGGAGTCTCTTATAGAAAAGCTGACTTGAGGGGTAGGGCAATGARAGTATAAGATCAACCTGAAACTCTTGTTTTGCCAGAAAGAAAAGTTCTCAGAGACTGAGGATATACCAAAACTGATCATGAAGCAAGCATGAAAGTTTTTCCAAAATAGAGGGACTTTCTACAAAATAYGTGGCTTGTGTTCAAATACATCAAAGGTAAAAAGGAAGGTGGAAGGATTATTTCCAAATAAAGATACAAAATGTGTAGCAACCAAATGCAGTGCACTTACCCTGGATTGATTCTTACATAATAAACACACAAATAAAATAAAGAGCATACCCGAGAGAATTAAATGATTAAATTGCATCAACAWTAAATTCCATGATTAGTTATGATTATGTAGGGAAATATCTTTRTTTTCGGTAATTAAACACTGAAGTGTTTTACAATATAGAAGCACAAAAACTAGATACTACTAAATAGTTCAGAAAAATAAAATGTTTTTGATTTGGAGAGAAAGAATAATAGAGCAAATGAAATTTGCACAATGAAATGTAAGCAATGGTGAATCTGGGTAAAGGTCTAAAAGAGTTCCCTATACTATCCTTGCAATTAGTGTGCCTGTGTGAAATTGGATCAACACAAAAAAATTGGAAAATAAATCTGCTGAATGTTATGCAAGACTTGCACTCTTCTTTTGCTGTACTTTCTTATACAAGAAGTGCAATAAAATAAAATCATTATTGCACATTTATATGATTCATGGTATGCAAAAGTATTGTAGCATTTTAATTGCATCCTGACAAGCACATCATGGGATATATATTCTTATGGTCACCCTACAAATGAAGAAGGTGAGGTGCAGAGATAMTAAGCTGATTATTTATAATCCTCATGGAGTCATATATGGGATCAAAATCATCTCCTCTGGTTGCACTTTAGGTCCTAGTAAAGTTGGCCCACACTTTTTCCTTTTAAGATTGTAAAGGGAGACAAATCTTTGATAGAGGAACAGAATGGGCAAAAGGATATTTAAGATCATCCAGGGAGAATAAAGCCTGAGGGGTGCAAATGGAAATGTTGACAAAAAGACAGGATAGGAGAAGGACTGCTCAATTAAGCCATTTGACTACCTGCAAGTCAAACCCCAGAACAGGTATGCATTGAAGAAAAGCCACTTGTTTAGTGTGTGTTCTATGAACTGCTTGATGGGAGTTATTCTTAATATTAGGAAATTAAACTTTTCACAGCACCAATTAGGAGTTTAAAGAAGTCAAATAATGGGCAGTATTGGAATTCTGGTACMAATATGTTTTAATGACAAAATCTAAAATAATATCAGAAATTTTCTTGATTTTCTAGAGAAATGAAGTAGAAGGCAAAAAATCAAAACAAAACAAAATCTTGGCAATTGGGTAAAAAAATGAATTCTACTGGTGGCTAAGGATTGTCAAATGCAAAGTTGAATTCATAATTCTAGCACATTTGCCTTTGTTCACATGTTCAAACTGAAACTATGTAAAAAGACATTTTATGTTCTATATGATTGAAATTGTGTTTACATTAAGAAGAAACTGCTTTATATTTCATATATACACACACACACACACACTTATATACACACACTCACACACACACATATACATATCTGAGGTTTGAAAAGATATGATAGTGGTATCACTGACCTTTAAAAAACATCCATAAGTTAGATAGTTGAAAGATTAAGTTAGATAGTTGAAAGATGTCACTAAACATACTGTAACCCTGACATTTAGAAAGAATATGTTCTACAAGAACATCAAACAGAGGAATTACCAAATCCCAGGTTAATATAGCAAGGTTACTAACCTGCAAAGACCTACCTATGTGCAATAGAAAAGATTAAATGTTTAGCTAAAAATGTCTCATATTTACAACAAACTAATGATATAGATGTTACCCATCTGGGATTGTCCAGTGCAGAGTATATGTATAAGTAAATATTGAAGCTATATTTAGTAGGAGTGTTAGCTTTGTATCACTTTGATCAAAATACTCGTCAAAAACAGTTTAAAGGGGGAAAAGCTTATTTTGGGCTTGTAGTTTCAGAGGTTCAGACCATAGTCAGCCAACTCCATTGTTCTGTGCCCAAGATTAGCCTATGCATCATGGTAGAAGTATGTARCCAAACAAAGCTTCCCAGCTCATGAGCTAATGGCAGGCAGGCAATAGATATAGTCTAGGCCTTGACCCCAGTGATGAACTTTCTTCTGCCATGCCTCATCTGCCTACAGTTACCACTCAATCAAATTATTAACCTATGAATTGTATTAATTCATTGAAGACGGTCTCATGATCCAATAATTTCACCTCAAGATTTGTCTGAATTGTTGAGCACAGGAGCTATTCAGGGGATACCTCATAACTGAATCATAACAGCAGGGTAGGGAAAATTTACCTACTGTAGATACTTTTTATAGTATGATTGAACAAATATAAAATATAAATAAAATTTAACTACAAGAAGGCTGCAAAGTCATGACGAGGCACTGCAGAGACAGACAGAGACTTCAATTTAGGCACTTAGAATAGTACCCGGTGCCTGGTATCAGAGTGTTAGTGGAACATAACCTTGGATGTCTTMTCTGAAGGTCAACTGGGTGGCCCACCTGAGATCTAGCCAAGGATTCTTTCTCTCCAGATTCCTAAGATTATACTTTTGAGTTTATTATCATTCTGTTACCATGAGAATTTAGGCAGAGACTCGCTCTTTTAATTCTTATTCTCCTTGCCTCTTCTTACTCCCCTAAAACTCTCATAACTCTCTGCATCTGACAATTTGTCTTTATTTACTCAGTAACTTTCCTTGTCTGTGTTGGTTGGAAGAGTTTAAGTCTTTTCAGTGATTAACTGCAGCTGCCTCTTCCTGCACCTACATAGGTCACACAGAGATTCTAGATGCTGGCTACAGAGATATATCCCAATCCTCACAGATAAGGTTACTGGCTGAAGGCCCTGCTTACTCAGTTAGAGGCAGGAAATCAAGTCCTAGGAGAAAGGTATCTTTTTTTTTTTTTTCCCCTGAAGTAATTCAGAACTGTTGGAGTGTAACTATCTAAACAAATTCCTTATCTCATATGGAAGCAGAGAATTAACATGTGCTTGGGCACAGGATCCATTATTTTCTCCTTCTTCCTTGTTCCTTCCTATTCGATCTACTTCCTCCTGAGGCACTGCTTTTAGAGAGTGAAAATAAGCCTTAGGATTCAGCATTCATTTTGCCTTATTTTGTTACAAAAACAAAAATGGAGTCATTATTCTAAATTTTAGTTACACATAACATTAAATGTATGTAAACTGAGAACTAAGTAAACATTTTAATTTACAACAAAATGCTTAAACATGAATTTGAAGACTCCTATGCATGCTTTTTGATGTTCACAATTTGCTAACAATAAGTACTGGCCTAATTGAAAAGTAATATAACACAGTTTATACATTAAATACTAACTCCACATTCTTAAAAATGCTTATCTTGTRGCTAGGTAAAAATTTCAATTTTAATATGTAGGAAATATAATACTTGATATAAATACTTCATGGATAATTTTAATTGAACTTTCTCTATTATACATGATTTCAATGGGAAATATCTGAAAAGTTTGCAATGTCAGGAACTATAGAAACATTGTCCGAGCAGTGTGGTTTTGCAAGGCTGTAGGAAATGTGGCTGGGGTTTTGCAAGATTGTGGCGAGCCTRTTCGGGAAGGGACATGTGATACTATACTCACGCATATACGCAGTGTGCAGCAGACACAAGCCAGTCATTACTGACAAGAGATGCACCACAGACCATACGGCCTTGATAATACAGAGCAACCATCCAGGGCCAGGCCCCTTCTTTGGAATCACTTCCTCCAACAATCTTTGGACTCACTGTTTGAGCCACCAGTTTTTTCCCACATGCTGTTAAAATAATTGAAGAAAGAACATACATTTTATTTTGGGGGAGGGTATTTCTTTTGACCATGAAAATTTAACAGGGACATAATAGCTTCAGGTGACCTAAAGCTCTTTTCAGAATTTTAAATTGAAGGCTTGAAGGGGAAGGTGACAACATATTGACTTACATTTATGGTTACATTGTAACAGAATCAGGGAATCCTGCAAGCACTGTTGACTGTAACAGAAGAATAATTATATTTCAAAAATTGTGCACTTAACGTTTTACAGTAAAACATAATGTAGGTTATCTTACTGTTTTTTTATTTAAATGAGCTTTTTATTCTACATATCTTACATGAAATGCAAGTAGGCACAAATGAACATCAGAAAATGCCCCAGTTTAATGCCAAGTACACATAAATTTATATCCTAACTACCATTTACTCTTCGAGTGACTTTGGGTCAGTTGCTTAATATCATTGAGCCTCAATTTCCTAACCTTAAAATGGGAGTAGTAGTACTTCCTGTATTAGACTTATGATGATTAAAAAATATTTGCAATGAGTTATTATTATGCCTTATACATAATGAATACTCAATCAATGATAAATACTCCTATTTTGTTTGAATCAACTTTGGATTTCATCTTCTTTAATATAGTAGTCCCTCCACTCTTATTCATGGGGAATAGATTCCAAGATCTCCAGTAATTGCTTAAAATCACAGGTAGTACCAAATCTTATCTTTAGTGTCTTTTTCACTATAACTAAAACCCAGGAGTTATAGCTCACAGAAATGTTAACTTTCTTGAATAGCCCAATAATTACATAATATATATTTTTTTGCAGCTTGAGGTGTGACAGTCAAACTAGCACAAATTTCTTTTTCTTTCTTCATAATTTCATGTATAGAAGATTCATTCTTATTACAGATCAGAGATCTTAGAAATCTCCCTTATGACTTTTTTTCATACTAAGTTGAGAAACTTCAACTGTTTACTTAAAGGTAATACTTTATGGCTTCCCTTCAGTATAATAGCCAGTATCATTGCATTGTGTCTGGAGGCCATTATTAAATAGAATGAGGGTAACTTGAATATGAGCACTGAAATACTGTGAGTCAATCTGATAAGGAAAATAGCTGCTAAGTGACTAATGGGTGGGTAATTTAGACAGTGTGGATATGTTGGACAAAGGGATGATTCACTYTCTATGCCAAACTGAGTAGGACAACTTGAGATTTCATTATGCTACTCATATTGAAAGCTAATTTAAAACTTAAGAAYTGTGCATTTTTGGAATGTTCTATTTAATATTTTTAGACTGTGAGTAATTATGGTCAATTGAAATCACAGAAAGCAAAACTGTGGATCAGGAGAGACTACTCTGCAGAGTATGCCCCAGTATGGACAATCCCACAACTATTCAGGGCCAGACAAGGTGTGAGGCTGTGTGCTTGGTTCAGGGAGTTGAATGATGAATGAGTCATAGGAACTGCTTTCCAGGGAGGCAGGCATGTAAATAGTAAATACTAAGTAAAGTGTATGCATAAATTATTGAAGAAACTCATTTAAAAATGTGGATACCAATTTTTACTCAAAGCCAAGACTCCTATTTTGAATTTTAAATGAAAATTGTTTTGCAATGTGTTATACAGTACAACCACTAGAGRTCAGTATAACACAATAAATTGTAATACATGGACCTAATACAGCTTCCTTAGATATCGGTCACATTAATAGACACATGCTCACATACACACATATATACTTAACTGAATCTGTTCATTTTTTTAGGTGTTTAAACTTTGGAGATAAATAAAATGAAACAAAATGCAAAGCAATGCCATATGCTCAAATTAATTTAGTGTTTCTCGAACATGCATAATAAAATTTACTTGAAATTACGAAACTCTCCATTGCCTGATTGACATATCCTCTATGATAGAGAATAATTTTTATAGAAATATAAGTAAATAGATGTAAATTTTATTAATAACCAATAATGTGAGTATGCATTTCTCACTATATATATATATATATATATATAATTATGTATCCATGGTGAGTATAAACGAATTCCTGTCCAGGGATCCACTTGAGTTGGAAAAAGAAATTACTTCTAAAATGCTTCCTAGTATATATCTCAAGTCTCATCAAAACTCTTTCTAGGCACTTGGGTTGTAGCTCTGAGGTAGAGAGCTTGCCTTGCACATGTGAGGCACTGGGCTCGATCCTGRTCCTCAACACCACATAAAAGTAAATAAAATACATAAAGTTATTGTGTCTATCCTTAAAAACATAAATAAAAAACTCCTTCTACATCTATAGCACTTACCAATAAAAATCCAYATTCAAAATGATTAGTTTTTCTAAGACGTGTTCAATTGTCTTAGAAAGATTAAGCAATGCTTAATTTCTTTTTATCAAGCACAGAAAAGTTTCTGGTTAACTTAGTAATTAACCATAAAATTCAACCGCACTTAGCACCTCCTTCTCCAAGTATTTTGGATAATCAAACTGTTGTTACAAAATCACACACATGCATGCATTATCTCAGGGTAGAGAACATTGCATATTCTCTAGGCAGAATGAGCAGCTAATCCTACTTTATCAAGGTGAATTTACAAAGTTGGAAAGAATTATAATTACTGTTCTGGCCATTGTCTTGGAGTCAAGCTAGGTTAGCTCTCTCTAGTGCAAGAATAGCAATGTCATGATCCCGCCTCTTTTCCTTGACCCAGTGGGGTAATACTGTGATATGAAATGATGGGTTTTAATCTACCCTCTTGACTATAAAGAACTAATTTCTATTTGCTTTTATGGCTAATATTTCCTTTTTTCTTATTGAAAAACCATGGCTTTCATTTAATTTTTTGCATTTTTTTTCTTTATTTTTTCTCTTGCAAAATACTACTTAAAGTGAGACTTGGAAAATTTTGAAGATAGTGTGTTAGAGTAGAGAAGTAGAATGCTTTGTAGTCAAGTCCACTTGGGTTAGAATCTTCACATTGCCTATTAGCTCTGTGAACTTTTAGTGKCTCAACACCAGCTTTCCTATCCTCATCCTTATAGGGAAGCAGTATTATCTAAGTCATAAAGCTTTCACAGGGATTGGAGGTAACCTGTAGAATATTTGTATCACAGTGATTGTCACATGATAGACATTCAGCAAATTATTTGATAAGCATTTTGCATTCTGTGTCTAATACTATGTTTTGAGCATAATATTGATCAGTACATATCATCACATATCCATTGACATCTCTTACCATAACAGAAGTAGGTCACTATTCAGATTGCTGAGTATATTTTAGGTAGCCTTTTCCTAGTGGTAGCAAATGGTAGTTTAAGTCTTGTGCATGCCTCATAACAAGAAAAAATGAGAGTACAGGCTAGCAGATTTTGAGAGTTGAGAGACTAATTTTCTCTGACATCCTTCCCCTTCACTTATTTTTATTGTAACCACTATTGCAAGGGTATTTTCAAAAGCACCAATTTTCATAGGCCAATAAACATAATTGTCTCTGCAATAAATAAATAAATAAATGCACAAAATAACTAATCAAATGGATAAATGAATATTTTTGAATGTTTGCCAAGACAGCATAATGTAGCTAATTAATAGGAAGGGATTAAGGACATTAAACTAACTGGCTTATTTGTTTTGATGAGTTTAAAGAATGTCTATAAATGGTGTCTCTTTTGAATATCACGAACATACTTAAAGTAATGATGTCAATGTAAGCTGATCTTGGCATTTTGTTGATAAGTATGGAATAACCTAGCACTGGTCTGAAATATGCATATGATTAACTTGAATGGTTTTAAAATTCTTTATCCTTTGCTTTTTCTTATTAAGTGAAGTGTCTATGACATGAATAGATGAAATTCTCAATATAAAAACTGCTTCAAGATCTATAATGGTAATATAAATTCYGGCATGTCTTAGAGAAAGGAATCTGGAAGGCTGCTTTGTCACTTGCAGATGGTTTACTTCATCCTCAATGAGACTCATAATATCAGTCAAGGTCCTACAAATACCAATACAAAACATTCAACTCAAAGGTCCTTTTATTAGCATTAAAAATACTCCTTTTTCAATTTGGTTTATACGTTGAGCTCACAGAAGTGTTACCTTTCTTGAATAGCCCAATAATTACATAACATTATTTTCCAACATTAAGAATAGYTGAACAAAATATACCAGCAAGAGCATTAAGGCAGAACAGGAGAAATGATAACATCTAAGCTAAGACAAATTCTTGAATACAGGAAAGTTGTTGCTTTTCAATACCTTTGGAGAGGCTTTAAAAATGAGCCTTACTTTTAAAAAGAGAAGAGACTGCATAGGCCCAACTAGAGGTTTAGATGTCATTTAATACTCATCTTCTATTTGYTAAGTAAGAGAAAAAAAATATACTATGATGCCTTCCCCCATTTCTCTTGTTTTAATGGTAGCTAATTTTTGTAATTTGTGTTGTTTTCTTTAGTTTGAGTCACACTAAACCTATATCCCAGATCTCACAATTTCTGCCTGTAGGATTTAATTGTTTACAAATCTAAGAATTAGAATGAAGAAGCAAGTGTATGTTATTAGACCTTATCAAACCCCTATCTGTGTACACAATGATTGTGTAGTCAATATCTCATTTAGCTCTCTTACCATATATATATGAGAGAATCAGTGTTATAAAAAGTGTGAATAGATACTGCTTGAGATCACTGTTGTGGATTACATGCCCAGGCTATGAAAGCATTAAAATTTGACTGGCTTCAAAAATTGATCTTCTTTCCAGTYCATGTGCAAGACCAAATTTAAGACCCACCTGGGTGTTAGTATTAAGCTTCCGTTTGGTGCTGCACTTAGTTTTACAAATGGTCCACCTCCAGTAGAGAATATTGGCATTGATGAATTTCCACTCCTATGGAAAAAAATATATATATATATATAAAAGAAAAACACAAGCAAAAAACATAAGCTACAATTTTAGTTCTTTATATTGTGAAGACTGAGACAAATTATTGGATTCTGTAGAAGAGGAAACCATTGTGATACAAAACTTCGAATGTTTTGCTACCTACAAAAATAGCATAGATCAAGAGAAGAATGGCCATAATAACAGGAAATATAATTTTAATTTTTACTTAATACTTCTAGTGTGAGTTTATATTCTCATATTATTTTACAAAGTTGAAATCATTGTATATATACCTTAGATATCTTATTTTTACTAGGGTTTCTTATGTTGTTCAGCAGTTTTTCTGATGGTTGATTTGACTATTTCACAGAATTATTGCACTATCATTTAAGCTTTTTTTCCTTACTGAGCACAATTCATCTCTTTTAAAAATGCATGTTGCCTAAGGACAACATAGAAAAATAAGATCTTCAGGTTTCCTAACTTTCATAATGTTGCTTTGTTCTTGACATTTTGTTCAATTCAAAGGCTAACAAGCCTTAATTTAAAACCAGAAGCCACTGTTACTATAAAACAGGGAGTATGTAGCCTGAATCTTCAAATATCAATRGATGAGCCAGTGCTAGGTGGAGGCACCTCCCTCCATGAGACAAAAGACATCCAGTCCCCTAGGTTCTCTTTCCCCAGAAAGCCTGTTAAACCCCTGCTCTCCACTGTGATATTTAATTAATGATTTCTCTTACATATCCCAAATCTTTTCTGAAAGTTCAACTATATACTTAAGCTTTCAATTTCTAATCTTTTTTCTTTTATTCCAGATTTAATTTTTACATGCAAATATGCTGTTAAGCTGGAAACATCCTGATTCTGCTCTYTTCCACTGGCCAGCAGGGCCATGGTACAATTCCTCTCTCTTGAAGTGGCATGATGAACTTGCCCTTGCCTCTCCACGAGAAGGCCCAGTGTTACTTAAGACTGCAACYATCACTGATGCTTTGCTCTTTGTGTACAGGAATTTCCAAGGAGCACTCAACACTTTTATATTTTTAACAAAGAACTGGGTAGAGGGTTATTCCTTTTACTTCCCATACCTTTAATAAATGAAGGATGTTTGGTATCTCCCCTCTGCTGAAGAGAGAGTGGGGACAATGGAGCCACTATCTAGTATGCTAGAATCTGGCTTTTTGAGCTTTTATAAATGAGATTTAAAATCCTATGTTCAAAGACAAATGTCTCAGAACTATGAAAGACCAGACAGAGATTAATAGGTTATATTAAATTCTGTATCTGAAGAATGTACTTGAGGCTCCTCCTGCCTCTGTTTTCTTTCCTTGAAATTTTTATAGAGACACACTGTGAAGACTACAACTAGAGTGTGAGCTTTTAAAATTTCCCAAATTCCAGATCTGCAGATTAGATAACTCCATTACCTATTTACACTGATCTCTGAAATCAATAGAAATTTAATATCACATAGAAACACCATATAGCATTACCTTGTTGACATACTAGTGCCTCCTATTTCTAAACATTTATTACCATTTTTATAGGTTATGTACCCTCAAAGGGCTGTTCTGACTTCAGAAAAACTTTATTTTATGTGAGAAAGGGAGCATACACATGCAACCATTATCATTTTTGAGGTCATGGGTGGAGTATAARAATACATTCATAGATGAATTCTAGGGAGAGAAAAAGGAATATCCCAAGGCTACTTGCATGGTATTAAATCTTCTGCCTCTTTTCTAAGGCTCTGCTTAGGTTTCTTCTTTTTTCTTGCTCCTAAGACTGTCTTTGCTGTGATAAGAATTCTTCCCTGAAGCAGGAGCTTAGGTAAGGATGTTTTAAGCCTTTGGACACACTAAAGCTAAAAAGAATAATAAGGCAAGCTGCAAATACTGCAGCCAGGCACTGAAGCTCATTTCATATCCCCAAAAGCTTAAGTAATGAATAGAGCCAGGTGGGATTAGCCTAGAAAGGCTTTCAGAGGAAGATGGTCCTTTCTTTTCAGATTGGAGGGAAAGAAGAGGATGGATTTGACAGGACAGAAGGGAAGGCAGAGCATTCTATAGGCAAGGAGGGGAATAGTGGGTGGAAGGGATTTGATGGCAAATCACTCCATTAGGATAGTCATGGCATGCAAGCATTTAGGTAAACACCACATCTGTACTGTACAAGTTATGATTACAATTGCTTGCTCATTTACTACATTTAAAGCAATATATTTAGCACTCACCTAGCCTATGACAGCTTTTAGAAACAGTTAAGTTTAATTAATTTAAAAATTTCTGACCTTGACACTTAAAGTTGTGACATTTACATTGAATCACATCAATGCAAAATTTACTTAATATAATCCCTTTTCTCTTTTGTGAAATCTACTGCATTATGAGTAAGAGAAAAATAGATGGGTTARTTTGGTAGCTTCTCTTCATTTGCTTACAGATGTAATGGTACTAGGAAGAAAACAAATTCCTCTTACCGTCTATGAAAAATATGGCTGAGAGAAGTGATACTTCTACAAGATTGTCAGGGAGACAGGTTCTCTGTGGACAACATCTTGGACACTTTGGGCACCATCATCTACTTGAATATGATTTCTTAGCTGCTACTGGAGCTTGAAGCTGCTATTGTTTATTTTTTGAGCAGGGTCATGTGGCACACACACCCACATTTGCTCTGATGTTTTCCTCAGTACCTATATTTTCTTAGTGGATTATTACTTTACAAACACATATGTGTGAAATTCCTTTAGCATTTACCATTAGGTGAAATCTGCATTCCCCTTAGAATTAGTAGGTTTGTGTGTGTGTGTGTGTGTGTGTGTGTGTGTGTGTGTGTGTACCAGAGAATGAACCCAATAGCGCTTAACCACTAGATCACATCCACAGCCCTTATTAATTTTTTTTTTGATACACAGTCTCAGTAAGAAGTAACTTAGTGCCTCGCTAAGTTTCTGAGGCTGGCTCTGAACTTGCAGTCCTCCTGCCACAGACTGTAGAGCAACTGGTATTACAGGCATATGCCACCACACTGGGTGGAATTAGTACCATTTCTTATCTCATCATGAAAGCTATGTGACGTGGAGAGCTGTGGCAGAATATGGGAGAGTAATGACTGAGATTGGGGGWYTCTGATAATCTACAWGGCTATGGCATGCCTGGTACCTAAGAATGTGTCTCTACAAYGGCATAGGATGTCTAGCTCCTTTGGTAATGCCCCACATGAGGAGGCTCTGAAGAAGAGTCTTATCAGCTTCAACCTTGATCTCAGGCACATAGCTCCTGGGGATAGAGGAATTTTCATGCTAGACAATACAGTGTTTCACCAGCTCTGCTACCCCTGAACYTGCCCGCTCAACAGCAACTTTAAACAATGGACCTTTTTGAGTGCTACACAAAGCTCCTAACATTGAACATTGCAACTGTGGATTGCAACTGCTGAAAAGCTGCATAGATGTTTCCAGTTCTGTAACTTTCTGAGTACAAAGAATTATGCTTGCATAGTCTTTAACCTGATAATAAAACATATGTAAATAAAGATAGCTCCAWCAGAGAGCAGCACTCCACCTTATCTCAGCTATTTGTGTTCAAAATCAGCCTGTGTGAGTTTTTATTTTTCTAATCACTATTGCATTGCCCCTCACCAGAACTTCAAATTTGGCCTCACTAGATGTGGCAATGTTTTCCTTAATGAGTGGGTTTCCAGGAATCTCAGACATGAATGGTACCATTGTAATAATCTTGTTATGTTTCCTAGATTTGTATCCTTATTTCTTTGGACTTTAATTTCATGTATTATTCTGTTAATTCTACTGCATATGCTGTCATCATGTATATCTGTGTATTTTTTAAAGGAAGTGGGTATGAAGAAAAGAAGAGGGCATGGGAGGAAATGATGGAGAAGAGAAGGTGACCAATAAAGATGTGAAGAAGAAAGAAAAAATAAGAAAGTAAAGGAAAATTAAAGACAAGAGAGGAAAGAGCTGTTTTCCTTTGGATTTCATCAATTTTATTTAAAACTATCCTTTGTCTCAGGAAACATACAGCATTAATAATAGGTGGTGCCTTAAAAGTACTTTTTAGAAGAGAAGTAGGATGAATAAAGAAGGTTTTGTTATAAATTTCACAAGACTGAAGTTTTTTCCTCTTACCTGTTTCTGTTTTATAGTGTAGAAACCTCTCTCTCCCTTAGAACAGGCTTATAGGAAATGCTCAATGGAGTTGTCCTTAGGCAAAAACAAACTCTTTCCTTGTGTCAATGTAGCAGACTAAATAACTATATGTTGCAGAAAATTAATGGTATATAATTCATAATTATACCAAAACATAAAAGCTTTTCTTATTCTTTTTTTGTATGTATCATTTACATTCTCAGTAATTCCCTGGCTGCATCAATCTSTTTGAGGTGTCAACATACCCATTAAAAAGTGTAATCTCAAATAGAAATTCAAGACAAAGARAATTTTCCCTGAATTGTATTAGTACAAATAAGCAACTTTCATAGAAAAGAAACTCCTAAGTCATAGTAGTATATTTTCTTATATATTTAGTTGGTGAAATCAAGAATGAGTTTTTCCAAACAATATATAACAGCAATATAGGCTTTGGTAAAATTCTAGCTATGGACAGTTTTACTCTTTAACGATATCTTTCTTATATGGATCTTCCTAAACTCTCCATTTCTCTTGATCTATTATGAGGGTAGGAGTAACATTTCCAGAAAATTAAAGTTAATGTCAGAGTTTACAAGATAAGGGACCCCCTGGATTAAGTCCACTATTATTCKCAATAGGGTTCTTAGACCTAGTGGCAGTATAAAAAGAGTTTTTTGAGGTTTGTATTGTGTTGCTTTGTTTTATTCAGATGAAMTCAAACTACAATGTACTACGTTTTATATCAAACCAAGTGCACAAAGATCATGATTCCTTAGATAAGAGAAAACTACTGTGTTAGAGTCACCTGGGTTTCTTAGAAAGCGAGAGCCTTCTAGCCTCCCAGAAA